GGTGGATCTTTCAAACAGCTGGAAATTTGGGAACTAAATTTCAGTTCACTCAAGTCATCAAAAGAGACCCAGATCGACCTCTTTATCCTTACCCACAATAAATAACAGGGGAGGGGGAAATGGCATCTCAGCAAGCAAGAATCAGACCAGGGAACCGTGTAACACAAGGTCTGTTGTCAGATGCAGAAGAATATCTTGCCAGGAAAAAGAAGAAGAAAAAGACATGCTTTGTGTTTGAGGTTATGCTTCATCAAACTGAAAACTGACAAATTTCTTTGCAAAACATTTCTCATTCTTTTCTTCTAATGAAAAAACTGAAAGCAATAATTTAGCGTGCAGGTTTACTCTAGATTGGAACCTGATGTTTCTTGGCAGTTGCTTTGGTGGTCCACCTTGGCTTCCATTAAAAGCCACAGAGCCAGCATGGGAAGAAACCCTGACCACCTTGCTCAATAGGGATTAAAGTCTTTGTAAATTTCTTGCTCACAGGCAAGAACAAATTGTTTACCTTTTTTTTTCTCCTTACTGCAAGAAAGCAATTGGAAATGGCAGAGTTTTCAATGACTATTTGCAGTTTGACACTTCTTCTGTATGAAAAACAATACATGTGGTTTCTTGAGCAGAAAACAGCATTTTCTAAAAAAAAATACAATATCTCTGTACAGAAAACAAGTTGCCAGTACTGGGGGGGAGCACTAGAAAACATGAATATTAAAATAATCACAAAGTTCTGTAGCTGGGATCATTTTAGAGGACAGTCACATGTATAAATTTACCTTACACAAATGTCCTTATTTTCTGACTCCAACTTAATGAATAGTTTCTGAAGAACACACCCACCCCACAGCTATTCCCTGCTTCATGGAAAGTGGATGGAGTCACAGAAGGATGTCTCCTTAGCAAGATGTGAAATGAGGACATCAGCACTGAGAATCACTGGGGTCCTCGGAAGAGCTCAGCACTGCTGTAACCATTTTGTGCCAGATACTTTTATGATCCTGTCCTCTCCCCCCCCAAAAAAAAGGGAATATCTTCAGGTAGGGGCTTCTCAGAAGCTGTAAAATAAGCCAGGGTTGTTGTATGGCCCAAGCTAGCATAGGTTCACATAATAATAATAATAATAATAATAATAATAATAATAATAATAATAATTTTTATTTATATACCACCCTGTGGCGAGCCAATCCGGGCGGTGAACAAGGATAAAACAATATACAGCGTAAAACAAGGCAATTCCCTCCTCCCCCCCTTAAAAAGCTATTAAATCAAAATCAATATAAAACAGTCAAATTTAGGTTAAAACAGCTGTTACATAAAATATAGAATTAAAATAATACAAACCATTATCCCCTGTTAGTTTAAAATTCTAAGGCATTGTATGAGGAAAGGTCTCAATGATCCCGAGGCTGGGCAGTTTTAGTCCGGAAAGGCCTGCCAGAAGAGATCTGTCTTGACAGCTTTTTTAAAG